TGAGTATTAAGAATTGTAGAATTAGGTTTTGCTAAAGACTAAATCATTGTAAATAAGCATAAAAGACATATTGACTACAAGGAAATTTTGGAACATTATGATGCTATAAGCCTATAAGTTTGGTGAAGATTTTGATTGTTATTTGATAATTGGCTTTAGAAATCAAAAAGATATTTATATATGAATTCGGAGTGATATTGGGTATTCAATGGATTATGTCTGAATTTGTATACCAAGAAACTTAAGATATGATCTATAGCATTGTCTTGATCATCATTACAATTTATGATGAATATATTGATAAGAAATATTTTGTCAGTAAAAAAAAGAAATTGTAAGCTTGATTATGTGACTTGGTGTTCATGGAAATTGTTTGAAGTCAATCTTTTTATTTTTACTTTGGAGTGGTTGGAATTTGAAATGGTCAATGTGATTAGGTTGTGATTATAATTTCAAATTGAAGGGCAATATGAGAATTGATGAATACTGTTTTATGGAGATTATACTTATCATGGGCCAATGATATATTTTGTGTATAAAATCTACATGTTATAAGTACAAAGAATGACTTTTATAATGATAAGGTGAACTTCAATGATGATTTTGTTATTCAATAATTTTGAGTATGGATATAATTTAAAGAATTTAAGAAAATTACAATATAACGCTATATATTTTAGTTGGTTTTATAGTTGCACTTTTGATATAAATTATACTCTTAGAGTATATGGATTAAAATTCTGGTAAAAAGATTCTTTATCGTAAATAGATTTTTGACATTGACTTGAAGCTAATATGAATAATATACTTTCTTGAAGGAAAATTTAGGATATTAGATGGTTATAAGCCTATTGAATAGTGAAATGATTATATGGAATTTGATCATTGAAATTTGAAAAGTAATGATACATGAACAAGGAGTTGTATCATGAGCTTAAAGTTTTATATTTAGATTTTTAAGGTGAATTTTTTAATATAATCAATTTTATTGGTTTGAAATTTATCACAGTCTTATAATGGCTAAGAAAAAATTTTTATGATAAAAAAAAAAGAATTAATATATTATATCTTCGACTCAGCTATTTGGTGATATTGTTATTAGGATTTAAGGACATATATGAACATGTTTATAAGAGTGAATTAAAACTTCATTGTAAGGGATGTTATAAACAAGTGATTTTGTTGGTGCAAGAAATATTATAAAGTCAATTTAATGTTTTTGGGTTATATTTGAATGATATGAGAGTGCATAGTGGAAGCATGAATCGATTTAAGATATGGATTTTGGATTATTGTTAATTTAGCAAATAATGAATTCTTTTAAATTGGAGACTGATTGTGGGTTAATAATAAATGGATTATAGATTTTGATATTTAAAAATTCGAGATTTTACAAGAGTTGTGAAATTGTAGTATAATTTTCATGTTTTTGTTAGTAAAGAATCATTAGAAAAGTTAGAATTACATTACGGTAATTTTACCTAGCTATGATTTAAGTTGAATATTATGTATGTTTCGAGTATCTGAAATTTGCAAAAGAGTTATGTTTTGTGACTGGATGTTGGAATAAGAATTGAGATTGGATTGTTAGAATATTTGTTTATTAAGCTATAATGGATATATTTTATACATTGGAGTTTATATCAATTTGGCTATGCGAGAAATAATAAGGAGAAGACTTGATTGAAGCTGTTAAGGTGATATATCATGGATTTTAATAGAAAGATGTCATACGATATTAAATTGCAAGACAAATAAACTTTGAGATCTAGATTTTGAATTTGGAGGACCAAATTATTTTAAATGAGGGAGTATTTAATAACCAAGCCCAATTTCATACCTTAATTAGTTGACCCAACTCATATGTTAAAAAGAAAAATAGAAGGACAAAACATATGTTAAAGTAAAGAAAACATATATACATTTTATGGAGATCAATTTATGGAGATAGGTACCTATCTTGTGAGATATTGTCTGCTTTGACCCGAAAGTCTCACAATTTTATCCCACAAAAGGCACCCCATTAAAGCTTGACATTCTCATCAAGCCCAACACAAAGCATACAAATCTATCAAATCAAAACAAATATTGGGCAAGCGCAACACAAAGCACACATAGATCACACGATCATACCAGATATTAGGATTCTAATGGTGACTTCCACCGTATAGTACTTAACTTCTGTAAGATTCTAGATGTAGCTTCTATAGTATAACATTTAGCTTTCATCCGACTAGTAACTGTTCTGACACAATTTATGGAATTCACAATTGACCTGCGAGATATTATCTATTTTGACCTAAAAATCTCAAACGTTTCAGAAGTTTTAATTTAGATTTTTACATATATATTGTAGTAAAATTTCATATTATCCCAATATGGGATTAGGGTGTCACAATTATGATCTTTAGGAATCCGGTGACCATGATGGGGATGACTGGATTTGCTGCTACAATTATGGGAGTTGTGCTTTATAGTGAAGCAAAGAAAAGGCTAAGGTCACAATATTATGAAAATAAGTTAAAAAGGAAGGATGGGATTGATTTTGATTGCCAAAAACACAGGTGCGACTCTTTTTCTTTTTTTTATGATTCACTATAATTTTTTGTTTTTTGTTTTTTATTTGATTCAATAGAGGGAAAGAATTAAATAAGGGAATTTGGATAAAAAAAATTGTGATTGGATTGGATAGGAACGATAGAGGAAACAGAACAAAGGGTTTGATGCTCTTTTTTCACGCCGAATTCAAAACCAGGAACTCAGAATCCATTGGAGCATTGCCAGCTTCTGGGAGTTTTAAAGAACACGGTGACGGGTGTTCTTAGTTCTTAAGTTTTCTAAGTTTTAGCAGGAAAGTTAGAGAAAAGTAAGAGAATTTGAATGTTAGAGAGAGAAAGTTAGAGAAAAAAGATTATTGGAGAACAATAAGAAAAAAAAGAAAAAAAACATTTAGAAATAACAAAATAAGTCACGGTTTTGGACAAAAAAAATAATAAAATAAATCACAAAATAATTAAATATCACATTTTCAATCTCAAGTAACACTTTAAATTCACCTCAAATCATAAGGTAATTTTATATAATTTACCCAAAAATTTATTGAACTGTAGTTGAGAATTTTCAACTTCCAAAAAGCATGCGAAAAAGGAAATTAAAAAATATATATATTAAAATAGAGACAATTCAAATAAATAAAAAAAAGTTCATTAAAAATCTCGCCGTGGATTTCTTTTAATCACGGGGATTCCTATAATATAACATCTCAATTCTTGACTCAAAATCAGGGAAGGCAAAAAAACCCGGACCCGACGGGTTCCGGTCCGACCCGATTTTTTAGGGTCGGTTTTTTCTTTTGAAAATCGGGGGTCGGGTCGGGGTCGGGTCGGGTAGGATGAAGACAAAGTCGGGGTCGGGTCGGGGTCGGGTTTTAGGCAAACCCGACCCTATCCGACCCGATATATATATAAATAATTTTTTTAATTAATTTTTAATTTTTTAATTTATATATTTATATAATGATATTTTTAAATATTTTATATTTAAAAATTAATATTTTATATTTAAAAAAATAATATTTTATTAATTTTGGTTCGGGTCGGGTACGTGTACGGGTTATATAGGGTCGGGTCGGGGTCGGGTTCGGGTATGAAAAAACAAAAAAAATTTCGGGTAGGGTCGGGTTCGGGTTTTTTAAGCATTATGTATGGTCGGGTTCGGGGCAAGCAAAACCCGCCCCGAACCCGACCCGATGCCAACCCTACTCAAAATTACTAATTTCATCAGCCACCTCCATTAAAGTCGAAGGGGCATCCTGATCCTACGAAATCGGCCTTCCAATCTCCTAATTCCCAATTTAGTTATCGATTTCTACTTATATTGTCCATCACTTGAACAAGATGAGATGACCGATCCGGCATGCACATCGTATCTACAAAAGTCAAACATGCAGAAGACTATGGGTGGGAATAAGTAAGAAATAATAGAAATTAAAAGAAAGAAAAGGGAGAAAAAAAATCAGGGATTGATGTTGCAGGCTTTGGACTTGGACTTGTCGAGAATCGACCACATGACTTGAACATCCTCATAGGCACATGCCATCACCTCCCCATGAAGATCCCTGACACGGTCTTCATGGTCTGCAGCCATAAAAGAAAAAAGTGCATTCCCATGTAAGCTTGTGATTGATGTGGATCATCAAGACTTTAAGTTATGAAAATATATGGGAATGGATGGGGTGGACAACTAGGATTAAAGTTAATATACGCAGCATAGGCAAGAGATACCTCTTTGGGACTTCTTATCCCTTGGTTGCTGATTGAAGAAATTGCAGGCTTTTTTGAACGGTGATGTGATGGTTTTCTTCCAAGAAGCCATAGATCAATTCCTATTTCCTGGTTTTACCAACGGGATTTTGCTTTGCGCTGCCTCTCTCCGCGAAATGACTGAATTTCCCTTTCTCTATGGCCCTTTTTAACTTGGTCAAAGGCCAATTATATAGGAAGAAGATAGAGAGAAAGAGTGGCAAGATCCGTGAGATGAGCTAAGGCTTAAGAGGAACATCACTTCATTTTTAGTTTTTTTGTGTTTTTCTTATCTCAAAGGTTCTTCGCCGACTGCACCAAATTATCTGGTGCACGCTCCCAAAGACGACTCTACACGTGAATGCCTTTACTTTTTTGAATGTGACGTCTACAAGTGATCAACCCCACTTTGCTTCCCTTCCCTTAATTACATGCCCTGTTTAATCATTAATGTGACAATGAGTTCAATATTAGGCCTCTTCTTTTCTTTTTGGTACATTACATGGTTACGAATAGAGACTGCTGCACGAACCCTACAGCGAATACTGGACGGAGCATTGTATTGGAGTCAATTTAGATTTTGAATTTAAAACATAATAGATTTACATTTAGTTCATCTTAATCTAGTATTTATAATTTTATCTTTATTTGGAACATTTCAATAGGTTGTACATATCTTTTCATTTTATAAGCTATATATAAACAAGACAATGCTTTTTCCTCAATTAATTCTGCTTCAGCCAATTTGATTTCATTATCCTTGTCCTCCAGAAAAGGGAAAACAATTGCAAAATCTTCCACATAAGCTTAACACAGGGCTATAGCAATTGCTGTCTCTGAAATCACTTGGATTCAATCTTTGTCTCATAAACTTACTTTTCACTTCCTTCTAAACCAGTGGTATTTTGTAACAACATAAGTGCTACTATACTTGCAAAAATCCAATCTTCTACACAAGAATGAAGCATTTTAGTCCTAGATTATTGTTTTTGTTAGAGAAAATATGTCCTAAGGTCTTATGACAGTCCAGTTCATCTCTTCAGTTGATCAACTTTCTAATGCTTTGACAAATCCTATCAAAAGCTCGACTCCAGTTTCTCTTATTCAAAACATTGTTGTCACCAATGAATCTACCATTTTGCAGGAGGATGTCAGAGGGAATTCATATTTTGAATTTAAACATAACTGGTTTAGACTTGGTCTCACTTTAATTTAATCCATTATTTGTTTTTTTAATTATCAGTGTAAATTATAATTATAATAAAATATTATATTTATATATGAGAAATTACCGAATAATCAAACAATCAAACCAACCAAAAAATATATATAATTAGACAAATTTAATATAAAATTAAATCAAATTCACAAACAATGAACTACTATTTGTTATTATTCAAAACATTTAAATAGGTTCTATATCTTATCATATTGTATATAAGCTGTATATAAACCGATCAACGAATACAAACAAGAAATAGCATTTACGGTTTACCTCAATTATTTCTACTTTTTATAATCTGATACGTTGCATTGTCCTCTCAGTCTCACTCATCTAGATTGGAGTTCCTATGGTTATCCGTTTCAGCAAAAGAGAAATAGGTTTAACATTCTAAAGCTTCTATGGCATGAATAAGAGCATGCCTTTTCGCAAATGCTCGATCATCAACTTCTTCAATGCTACAACTATCTCCTTACTCTTCATTTCTTTTAAATAATAAACAATTATATATAATGGTCTTACTCTTAATCCTTTGGAAAGTAGAATAATTATATATCTCCTAGATCCAGTTTTCGAGATGAGTGTTGACACTTTTCTGCATGTCAATATGCATTCACTATCCCTCCAGTTCTGGTCCTGCTCATCCAATATCTACATTGCTGAGAAGGGGCATTGAATATGAGTAGCAGGAACTGCTGGTCTTCCATTTCCATGGCGGAGGGGAGGGGAAGGCAATGGGCATGTGATGTCCACATGTTTCAGTGGGAAAGATGCGACTCAATAAGACACCCATATCAATGTGGGTCCAATTCTTCTACTTCAATAAACTTTATCCGATCCAAAGTGGTATTGATGCACCAAACTAACTCCAACAAGGCTATAACCTTTTTTTTTTTTTTTCTTTTTATCTTATAAAAGGCAAATCCGATTCATTATGGGCAACAAGGCTTACGTTTACTCTTGCCTATCTTTGTTGCTTTCTTTAGCTTTCCATCAAACAGTTTATGTGCAGCCTTATCTAGCAGCAGCTTGGGCTATTAGTCCTGAAGTCCTGAGTGTCAGTGCACTGATTTGGTTGAAGGCTGATCTAGAATGTGGGATGAGTCTAATCCTGGGTCCTGAAGCCGTACAAGTCAGAACTTGAGTCTGGCCCGTGATAAATGGTATTAAAGTAAGTTTGGAGCTGGTTCAGAGTTCGCAAAAGCTGGTCTGGAGAAGGTGATCAGTACTGGGTGTTGCTAGAACCAAAGTTAGCCTAAGGGAGGTTTCGAATGTGTTGGTGCTAGCATTCGATTATGTGGTATGGGCATCTTAGGTTGTTTCTGTGCTCGTGTGCTGGTGATACACCCCTGGTGTATAAGGTACGGGTGTGCAAGGGTGCAGAATAGGTGTTCAACTGATTGCTACTATAATGTTGTAGGAATGTTGGGTGTGCTGTGCAGGTGTGCAGACTGGTATTTGACTATCAAGCGCAATATGCACACTGGCTTGCTGAGACTAAGATCTGATCACTAAGGTGCCATAGAAGGTTAAGGCAATTCTTTTGCCTTTGTGCATTCGTGGCTAATTGTGTGTTTGTGGCTGTGGCATGGTTAGGATAAACCAAATAGAAGGCCAAACCAAGGGCCTTGATGAGTGCCCACCTATAGGCAAGGCGAGGGAGGCTGAATTGAGAGACATGGTGACGTCCCTGGACATTTGATTGTAGAAGTGTGAGGTGACCGTTTCAAATTTGAGGGATAGGTTCTATGATAGGGAAAGATCCTTGAATGGGGCATTGAAGGCCATGATGTCAACCTTACGAGAGGAGCTGGCAAGGCTCAAAGTTGATTACGTTGCATTGCGAGTTGTCGTAGTTGCTGGTGTATGCTTAAGACCCAAGGTGGTGGTGCCTAAGCATTTTTTTAATGGTTGGAAGCTAGGAGTAAAGACCATGCTGCAATAGAGTGACGTGCAGGAATCAAGTCGGGCCAGTGTTATTGCAAGATCGAAGACTCAGGTTGAGTGCACCAAGTCTCCAAGGCCTAGAAGAAAAGGCTAGAATGGGGGAGACACCGGTGTTTTTTTTTTCAGGGGAAGAAGGGGTTACAAGAAAGCCCAGATTTCGTAAGGCCAACAGTGCCGCCGGTAGGGGCAAAGAGAAGAAGACCTTAAGTTGCTTTTTGTGTAACGGTTCACACAGAGTCAAGGACTGGCCAAGGCATCTAAGGCTTGCAACCATTAACTAGGCAAATGAGTTGTCTATAAACAAGAGTAGTAGTAGTGATAAGCACCAAGAGGAGCCTAAAGCGATGTGGCTTAGTGATTTTTGATTCTGTCGATAAGGTAAAATCTTTCCACGAGATGAAGGCAAAATGGCAATGGAATGCCACAGCATGAGTCTCGAGGTGCAGCTAGATACTTCCATATAGAGTGTGCAACGGGTAACTTAGAAGAAGTGAAGGAAACATCAGGCGTGCAGGCGAAAGGGACCAATTTAACATAGGGCTGATGATACTCGAGAGAACAACTAGTAGAGTACTTGTTAGAGTATGAGATTGACACATGGGAAATCTAGTTCAAAAGGTAAAAGATGAAGCCAACTTGTATAAAGGTGTGCAGTCTGGAAGTAGCATCCCCTTAGCAATGAGGGCATTACTAGAATAAATGAGGGAAAATGTCATAGTTCGCGGGAAGGACTAGGCCCAGGGATTCTCTCCGAGACAAAGAGCTTTTCTAAGGCAACCAAGATCAAGTTAGAAAGCAAGAGAGACCAGCCTCAAAGGTGTAATGGAGGTCATAAGGGCAAAACCATGACTCACAATGGGTGCATAGGCACTGAAACAAGCTTAGGGAGTTTAGGCCAGAGGATTCGGTTCGATAGCTTCTAGACAAACCTAAGTACTAATGTAGGAGTAAACCCAAGCATGGGCAGAACTGATCTAAGCACGAGCCCATTGAGGGGCCCCGTGTGGGCACTGCTGAAGAAAGAGTCCAACCTGGTTCAAACTCTTTTTTGATAAAGTCCATGTAAAATTAGAATTGTTCATTGTAATCCTATTGTATTCTCTTACATATATTAGACTTTTGTGAGCCCTAGGATAGGAATAATGTCAGCCATTGATTCAAGGAAGCCTTAGCTATAAATAGGAGGTGTGGTGATGGCAACGGGTCGGGATGGGACGGGTTTTTGCTCGCCTTGAACCCGACCCGATTTTAAATATATAATACCCAAATCTGTACCCGACCCGAATTTTTTTTTAATTTTAATACTTGAACCCGACCCGACATTATATAAAATCAAATCCGATTCGACCCGAAATTAATAAAATATTATTTTAAATATAAATATAAAATTAAAAAAAATAATTTTTTTATATATATCGGGTCAGGTTTGCCTAAAACCCGACCCGAACCCGAAAATTTTTTACCCTACCCGACCTGATACCCGATTTTCACAAAAAAAAAAATCGACCCTAAGGGGTCGGGTCGGGTTGAAACCCGACGGTTTCGGGTGTTTTTGCCTTCCCTAAGGAGGTGCCTTACCCTCATTGTACATATACTACAACTTGAGTAATACAAGTTTACTCTTGTCTATCTCTGTTGTTCTCTTTAGCTTTCCATAAAACAGTATATGTGTAGCCTTGTTTAGCAAAGCTTGGGTAGTTGGCCCTGAAGTCTTGACTATCAGTGCACTGATCTAGTTGAAGGTTGATTTAGGATGTCGGATGAATCCATTTCTGGGTCCCTGGAGTTGTGTGAGTCAGAGCTTGAGTCTTGGCCCGTGACAAGATATAAAAAGTTTAAATTTTAATAATTTTTAAATAAAATAAAATGAAAATTTAAATATTAATAATTGACTAACAATATTAATAGATTAGAAGTAATTACACCAAAAAAAATTCAAATTAGTAATAATGCTTATTTAATTTATAAACACCTTAAAATAAAAGACAATAAAAATAAAATCAATGAAAAATTTGATTGAGAAATGATTATGCATACAAATATTTGAATATATGAGTAGCATTTCTTTTTTATTTCAATTTGTAATTGAATTTTCATTTATATATTCTTTTGGACTTATAATTAGAAATTTTTACCAAATTCAAATCAAAATTTATAATATCATTGAAAGTTAAATGTTATTAAGTAAATCAATTTAGACATCTAATAATCAAAAGACACATAAGATACTAAATTAGACAATCA